TGCTGCGAATGTCGGCTCTACTGTTTTGATAAACGACGGGCTTCTCAGAACGAGAAGCTTTCGAGGCTAACAAGAACTGACGATTTAACACGCGTTATCGATGACACCGGCATTGTTGAGAATCTCTCCTTTAGACAACTCTCACCATGCGACATAACTGCCTTGGCAAAATGCCACAAATTTAACATGACCGTGACACGGCCGCCTTTGCCAAAAAATGGTCGCGGATGTCGAGGACGGCATCACGTACCTAGGTCCTAGTGTTCGGAATGGAGTGCGTCTTAAAGCGGTCGGCATCCCTTCAAAACTCCCACAACGACAGCGAGACGACCTGTCAGCGGAAGAAGTTACAGCGCTTCACAAACTTTGCGAGGATACGGAGATTGTACTTCTGCCGGTACACAAAGGAAAATCGACTGTCCTCCTGGACCGGGAGGTGGACGAAGGAAATGTACGATATCTTGTTGGCAGGTGTACTTATGAAACACTCAAGAAAGACCCAACGCCGCAGGTTGAGAGGAACATGAAAAAGATGGTGACAGAGATTTTCATAAAGTACCCTAATTCAAAGAGCCCTTACCTGCGGCTCATCTGCAGGAATGGCTCCGCTTCAGGAGTTCATGGACTTCTAAAGATCCACAACCAGAACGTCTCTCTATGCCCTATTGTGGACTTCTAAATTTCGTCGCTTCGGGAGCTATATCTTTAGCTATAGCTATATAGCTATATAAATTTCTATAGCTATATATAGCTATATAGCTATATATATATAGCTATATAGCTATAGCTATATATAGCTATATAGCTATATATAGCTATATAGCTATATAAATTTCGTCGCTTCGGGAGCTTCATCGGACTTTGGCTCCCCTCGTTAGAAACGCGTTGTCCCACGCAGAAACTCCTGGCCACTTCGTGGAGCGCGCCCCGCACTTACAACTCGGCGGCAGTGACACCACAGTGTCTTTCGACGTGGTATCCCTCTACACAAGTGTCCCGGTTCCGCTTGCAGTTGCCGCAGGCCACTAAGCACTCCAAAAAGACAGCAACATGAGCACAACAATCAGCCTCAGCATAGATGAGCTGTGCTGTTTGCTCGAGTTCTGTCTCGATAGCACACACTTGACCTTCAAAGGGGAGTTTTTGAGGCAGGTAAGGGGTATTGAAATGGGTGCGGCTATCTCGGTCACAACGGTGAACCTCAGTATGGAAACAATCGAACAGAGAGCGCTGCGGTCTTTTCCCAGCAGCCCCAAAATATTCATGAGCTATGTGAATGATTTTTTTCTCCGTACTCAATAAATCATACATCAAAAATATTTTGGAAAACCTAATTCCACCGAGCGGGCCATTTAGTTCCCCGTGGAATGCGAGACGGACGGCGCCTTGCCGTTCCTCCATATGCCGGTAAATAGGCGAAGGGCAGATCTGAATCTTACGGTGTACAGAGAAGCAGCAAACACGGGACGGTACCTAGATATTTGTTCTAAGCACCCAACGAGTAACAAGGCGTCAGTGGTTTCGAGACTTCTGCGAAGGGCAACGACTATCTGCTCGTTGGAAACCAACCAAAATGGAAGGAGAAGGAGATTATTACAAACCTTAAAAAAAAATGGCTACTCTAGCAGCTTCATCGAACTATGGTGCCTGGAGCGCGTCTTTGAATGGTGTGTTTAGCGCCCTATGCTGCGCATACATCAAAACTGCTCCCGAAGCGGCAACAAATGACGTCACAGATGCCGAAGTGTCATGCTGTTGCATGCCGCGATCCTAGCGGTTCGTCGTAGAAATGCTAACGAGAATCTGCGAGTGGCACAACCGAATGAGAGCATGGGTGTGGTCACGACGTCCCAACTTGTGGCTGCCGAAGCTTTTGTAGACTGCCACACTGGATAGCGACCTGCAGCCAAACAGGCGTCCGCCACATACACCACAGCTGTTGGGACGCCGCGAGGATGGGGACTGGCGACCGCAAGACAGTTCTGTGAGGCGGAAATGAAGGGACCGCTTTTTTGGACGCGGTAAACACACGAGTCCGAGACGCGTTCCAGGCACCAAAATTGATTGCACCGCTCGATGCCAAAGGCTCGCCAGACAAAAGCAGAAGCCACTAGAAGAAAGGCATTTACATCAAGTCGCGCGCATCAGCGTTGCCTACGTAAAGGGAACCAGCGATGCGCTGGCATGAGTAATGGGCAGAGAAGGTATTCTGGTTTCCTGCAAGCCCGGGTCCACACTGGGATGGATCATGCCAAGACCCAACGAGCGTCTGCCAAAAGAAAGTGCACAAGGCATGGTCTAGACGATTCCATTGCAGAGTGCCCAGCAACCTACATCAGCGAGACGAAGAACTTTCCCTAGCAAATCAGCCAACACAACAACGACGTGGGGAATTGCGACAGCGAGCGCAGTGCCATCGCCGAACAGTGTGATACCCTAAACCATCGCATCGACTTCGCGAACGTGCTCGTGACTGACAGAGCCAAATATCCGAAGAAGAGTTTTTTTGAGTCATGGCAAATCCAGCGTTCGGGAGCCTTGTCCTCTGTTTATGTACATGGCCTCTGTGACCTAACATAAAAGCTGAAGAGATTAGCGTCTCCATAGAAAAACAAATATAATTTCCCGTTACTTTTTTTTTGTAGAGGTTGAGGTTAAGGAGGCGCTGCTGCTCCACGTACTTTCTGTAACCCCTTAAAAGAAAACCGAACTGGTTTCGAAACGTAGGGTTTTCTTTTAAGATATGGTTATATATATATATTTTATATATATATATATATATATATATATATATATATATATATATATATATATATATATATATATATATATTTCTTTAAGGCTAAGAAGTGTTTGGCTTCTAGTTAGGCATCGATGGGTGGCGTCGATCAGCTCTATATGTGCTTAAACTGGAAAAAAACGCTTTAATCTAGAGCAGGGACGGTTGAGGAAATTTGAAAGTTCGGGGAAACCCACGAAGGCACTTGGGTAGCCCCTGTGCTCCTAGGAACCCAGGTATAAAACCAATAAACTAAGGGAAAAGGTGTAGTAACTCGAGTACGGGGTAAACTTAGCTGGGTCTCTTCCTTCTTTAGCGCCGTTGTTCCTCGTTATTGTATCGGGAAATGTTCAAGGGGAAAATACAACTGTCCTTATTTTATTTTCGGGAACTGATTCAATCGGTATTGCTAGATATAGCGACACTAAAATTACATTGTAGTCATGAACAGATTCTCATACTTTCTAGAGAAACCTAGAACATGTCGATCCAAAATTGGAATGCCATATTCCACGAGGACGTTTAAAAGCTAAAACGAACAATATTTCGCAGACTGCGTCTCAGTGTAGCGTACACACAAAAATACCTCTATTTAATTGGCAAAGAGGAATAACCTACCTACTCTTCGTTCCCTTCACTCCAAGACAGCCACCACTTGTTACGCAACTGTACTACATAAGACACTCAAAAGAAAACAATGAATTTTTTTTCGCCGTTGTGTTGTATTGCTATTGTTAATGTATATGTATATATATTTTTGTCTTTGTTGCATCACGTGCTGCTGGACCTAGCCCCCGACGCAGGCCAGTCGTTACCTATCAGGTAACTTCGTCTCGACGTTTGCAGTATGGGATCTTCCTAAAATGTTCCGTCTCCACAAAGAACACAAAAAAAAAGAACAAAAGTCTTTAGGGACAGTTTAAATTAATTTAACTGCTCCACCTTCTTATGCCTCGGGCAACTTCTGAGGATCGACAAAAGGCAACGGAGCTCCGATTAACTATCTTACTAGTACTCGTTTATTTAAAATACTCTAAAGATTGATGTAACACTGTGTACTCGTTCCTTTATACTATCTCTTGTTTTCTAGATTTGATCCCTTTTGTTGTTTCTAGTCTCCCTTTTTCATTTTCCGCCGAATAGAAAATCAGCTCTAAGTGTGGGTCGACGTCTTTGTTTCTGTAAATAAACAATTGTTCTACTTTCAGTACCTTTTTTCCCCATCGGAGAACCTTATCTAGCGTACCTGGCTGTTTCATTCCAATTTGGGCATTGGTGAATATACTCGTATCCATGTCTTTTTATATTATTATGTGTTTTTCCGCACACAGCATTGACAAGAAAGCTTTTTCCAACGCTGGGCCATTTATGACCTTTAGACGTATAATATTCCCAAAAAAGACGGCCCCTAGAAAAGGCGACTTGGAAGTTCTCAGAATGTTAAACCATTTAGAGTCAGTGTGCTTGGTATTTTATATGCATTACCAAGTTACTGCATTACTGTAAAAAAGCTGTTCTTTAATCAAATATAATTGTGTAAATAAAACCCAGGCACGTTATGTAGACTGCTACAACAGAATTATAAAGTTTCGTCAATCTATGGATATGAGATATTAAATTTTAAATGATTACCACTCAGAGCGCATGTTCTTGCCTCTGAGACTATTAAAACCTGAACTTTTAGTGTTTAAAGATACCGAGAAAGAACTTAGTGATAACAAAAATGTTAAAATTCGGCACGCAAAAAAAAGTTTTATATGTTTATGTTCTCGTAGCTTATTTTATATTAATGTAAATCTTAATCTACATGTCTCATTAGTTCTAAAACAAAGTTTAGAAGCTGTGGGCTTCTGAATATACTGCGTAACGTTGACCTTGGCTTGTCAGGAGCATTTCCGATATCGTCATGTTTGTGACACCACTTGGGAAACAAGAATTAAGGTCGATACGCTCACTATATTTATTATAAATGCACTGAAGACAGCGGCATAATGAACCTTCTTAAATATTAGCCTAGACTTAAAAAATACAAATTTCACGTTATTACGGATATATGTCTTTGCAACTTCGATTTTGTTCTGGTGTAAAGTTATTTTTCCGGCACCTTCAGCGATATCAGTTGAAGCGCATTGCATTGTCTGTTGAACGATGCAAAATATGTTTCATTTTGAATCATGATGTATACAATTTGTTCCTTAAAAACTTGCTAATGGCTGCTCACCCCTTCGCAGGCATGTCTGCACGTGCCGTTGGCCAACCTGCAGCACGAAGGACCTGAAACAAAGAATTGATGTAACTTCAATAAAATTGTAACAGTTTGGTCTGCTGGGCAAGTTAGTAATAGACATTCATATTAAAAATAGCGCAAAAGAGAGGGGACAAAAAGAGGAAGAAGCACACAGGACAAGCGCTAACTGGCAACTAGAGTTTATTGAATGCTTCCAACTTTGCTATCGCCGTGCACGCTTGTAATCTTGTCTCAACAAAAACACGGCGTACCGCCAAATCACTAGATATAGCCCACCCACCGTTGTTTTCACTAACACCGTGCAGATTGTCTAAAATGTGCGCTATGGTGAGCGGGCCAAAAGTGAAGAAATCTGCTTGCAGCAAGAACCACGTCACAAAGTTTGTGCCTTGTGCCACTGAGGCGGCTTACGGGATTCCTTTAAGTTGTGGCCGTGTTTACATAGGCCCGACGGGACGTTGCTTAAATGATAGACTTCGAGAACATGCGGCTTCTCTTGGCAACAATTACGGTTCTTATTTGCCGGGGCATTGCAAACCTTGTGGTTGTTCCCCCATTCTGGACGGTGCGCAGGTGGAGGGAGGGGTGTTGTGAAATTGTGATGTGCTTCCATGTATACAAGTACTCTTGCCGTCATTTAACCCAACTGTACTTCACAAGAAGCCTGCTTGTGTGTATTCAAGTAATGTTTGGCGTATCCAACAACCGCCCCCCCCCCCCCTTTCCCGTTGTAATGCCGAAAGGCGCTGCGGGTATTGGATAAATAAATAAAATAAATGAATAAACAAAGGAAGGTGAGAACGAGAGCTGCTGGAGGCGGAAATTATACATGTTTACGATAAAGACGTCTGCATCAGCGTCGCATCGGTGTATATGCAACCGAAAGAGTACAGTTTCATCAACACTATCTAGCTTGTGATGTTTTCTCTTTTCCTCGTTCGGATTGTGCGGCGGGGGATGTAGCTATTTTGCTAACCTTTTGAACAGGCGGTGGGCGGGTTATATCTACTGATTTGGCGGTACGTCGTATTTTTGTTGAGACGAGATTACGCGCGTGCACGGCGATAGCAAATTTGGAAGCATTCAATAAACTTTAGTTGCCAGTTAGCGCTTGTACTGTGTGCTTCTTCGTCTTTTTGTCCCGTCTTTTTTTGCGCCATTTTTAATACGAATGTGAATCAACTTGCCAAAAATCTTGATCGCCGCAAAACATAACGGGATAACAATTATACTTATGGTTTCGTGCTTTTGATATTTACCGATAAACCTCGAACATAAACCCCGAGCTAGTTTTACCGAAATCGTAAAAAACCTAAAAGCTCCGAATCAGTGCAGTCTTTAAAGGAAAGACACTTGGAGAAACTTTTATATACAGCTACATTTTCTTCCGGAAATACATTTCTCATGACGCTACGTCTTTTTATAGGCACCGGAACGAATTTTAAGTAGTCTGCTAACGCGCACCTTTGCTGGGCTTGGGGAACCCCACTCAGGCGTTTCCTTTTACTTTACATAAACCGTCAAAAATGCCGATATTTTTTTCCGGCACCAGACGTTTACACCGAAAAACACAGAATCTTCTAGAAGAAATCAACCCCGTAAAAAGACACGTGTATATATAAAAAAAAAAAAAAACACGGAAACACGGGAACGTATTTATGACTACCGTTCCGCGTTTTCAGTTTTTTTTTTTTTAATTAGTTTATTTAGAGTTGATTCCCTCCTGTAGATTCATTGTTTTTTAGTGTCAATTTTCGCTGTCGGACGAAAACCGATGCTTATCGGGGCTTATGTTGAAGAAAATCTGACACGGGCGTGGGATGCCACAACCTCCAGAGTACATACGCCCAACCCAAAAACTTGGAATGTTTCCCGGTACCTACAAGAGAAGGAATCGAGAGGTATCTTTCCGAAGAAAGTTGCAACCTCGTGGGTGGTTTAGTGCGGGCTGCATTCTGGGTCAGCGAACAATAAAGCTGTAGAAACAAGTTTCTTCGCGATAAGCTTGGGTATTTTCGTTATTCAAGGGCAGATGTAATTCGGTGACCTTCGGGTTTCCTGGGTTTTGATAAAACCGCCTCAGCAGTTAATTTTTGGGGTTCACCAATATTTAGCAAAAACATGAAACGCTCGACACTTCACAACACGAGAAAAAATAGCCTGCTTCGTCTAGTCTTTCTTGCCGCCTCTTTGCATATAGATTTTAATAAGCCTATTCGGTCTTTTTTTTTTTCACGTAAACCTGGTCACTACAATGGCGGCCACTTAGACTGGCTGGTGTGTTCGCCAACGACGGAAAAGTTGCTGCCCCGCGAATGAACCTTTTTCGAGTAATAGTGGCTGTCTGGGTGTTGCCTGCGAAATACAAGTACGGGGCAGCCCAACGGCGGAACACATTGGCATCGGGCCGTTGAATTGGTTTTCATTGCTTCTAATGCCCCATGCTGCAGGTGCTAAAGAATGATTGTCGCCAAAGGCTATATACGCGCAAAGATGTAGGTATTGACAATGCTAGTCGTGCAAGACGGTGCCCTCCGAAAATGACGACGGGAGGAAGCAAGGATCAGGACGCAAGAGGTCCGTGTACGCGTGCGCAAAAGTTTACTGCAAAAATGATCCATTGTTGTCCAGAAAAGCCTACTGTCTGGACCACGGTGGCTCCTACCTTCACGCCCAGCGTACACTTGTACGCCCGATTTTGTTTGCCTTCAACTGATGAACACGTTTGGGAAAGTGGAGATAAATCATGAGAAGGAATTTCTAGGTGTACAAAACATGCGGACGTATCCGGTGAACGGTTTAACTGCGTTGCTCGAAGTCTTCGGAAGAGTCGCTTGTAGAGAAATTCAGGTTTAGATCTTTACAGCCGATTTCAGAAAGATGTTGATATCTATAATTGGATTGGCGATTACGTGAGCGCAAGGAAACAGTTCGTGGTCATTAACGGCACAGAAGTAACATCTGGTGTACCGCAAGTGTCGGTACTTTGTCCAGTTCTTTTTTTATTTAAAAATGATGTTGAAAATATTTCTTCAAACATTCGATTATATGAAGATAAATGCATTTTATTGAGATGCCCTCTTTAACGCCGCTATTGGGACCCTTTAAAATGGTGAACTAGAATTGACACGTCGTGTTCCAAATGGCGCATGCATCTTAATACATCTAAATGTATTTGAATATGATTCACCAAAAACTTTTTTTTTCTCAGCCTACAAAATTGGTGGAAATTCAGTTGAACTTTCCACGGCGTATAAATGTTTAGAAATTATTTTTACGAGTGATTTAAAGTGGAATAAACACGTTAACTACTTGACGGGTGGCAGAAGCTAGTCGATCAGGATTCAGATTGTGCAATTTTAGGCTGGACGCGTTGGCATGAAATGAAACATTATATTTTACGCGTGTACCTACGCGTCCTTCACGCGAATATGGGAGCGCAATATAGGACCCTTTGAAACATAATTTATTTGATCAACGCGAAAATATACGCACTTGTGCTGCTAGATTTGTTACATGAAACTATGATTTCAGAGATATTACAAAATATTGTCATCACTATGGTGGAAACATCCGAGTTAGAAATGTCAGTGCATGAGTGTGTAAATTTTCAAATATATTTCCTATAACTATTCTGGTATGTAAATATATAAATATATCTGGGAACCTACCGACCTGTCACGAATAATGGATAATCCAAGGAAGATTTGTACGTTCAAGTGTAAGTACAACTGATGGGCTAAAATCTAAATTGTTTTTAGCGGTTTATACATGACGAACTCGTTAGCCAGTAAGATTAGTGAAATATTATTGTCACAGCTGCTTATCGATAAAGTCCAAGAGTATATGAAAGCCTTTTTTTCATATCATAGTCCTACTTCTATTATTGTTGTATTTCTATTGATATTTTTTTTTTTTGATTGAAGTGTGGATTTTGCTTTTTCGCGTACGTGCCCATCCTACTGTAATGCCGAGTTGATGTAGGTATTCAGGTAAGCAAATAAATAAATAAATCGCTAAATTCACGAAAACTAGGTTTTCGCGAAAATGATATAATTGATAGTATGCTCATATTGAAAATGTCAGGCTACTAATATACAAAAATTAGAATGTGAAGGCCACTCTCATAGTTACCTGAAAATGCCCGTTCATTTAATAAAGGCAAGAGAAAAAGCGGACTGTAGCAAGGTGTGCATTTGGGCGGGTCAGTAAATACTGACATAAATAAATCAACCCCCTTCCTCAAAAAAAAAAAAAAAAAATGACAAGCGACGTTTGCATACGTGTGAATTTGGTGGCGACTTTTTATCACGGCAATTTGGACGCTAATATCTTCTCAGATAATGTTTCAGCGTTCTTTTCCTCGGAAGGTACTTCACCTCGTCGTGCTGTGTAGCTACAGGGCGCCCTCCGCACGCAATTTGCGTCAACATGAAAGCCTCGTTAAAGCTTCGAAACGGGCGAACCCTGCCAACGATTCTGGAAACAATAGACAAACACTGCCTCGGTCATTGTTGTCCTCCAGCATGTATGACAGAGGCGGTCATTAGACACGGACCTAAAAACAAGAAAAAACTTCCATATCAAGTTTTAATTACAATGACACGCAACAAAATAGAATGGTAAGAACTGCCAAGTTTAAACTTGGGCTCACAGGGCCAAGTCAGGGGCATCGAGTTCAACGTTCCTCTTCCTGTTAGAGTTGGGGCCTCTTTCGTCCAGCGCACGCGATGGAGACATTGTTGTAGAACAAGGCTGATGCATAATGGCCCTTCATCTCACAAGTACACACAGCCAGGGAACGCGCTTGCTTCGAATCGGTTCGCAGCAGAGTTTAAATGGTGTCACGTTTTAAAGTGCGACCGGAGGGTACGACCAAGAAATCTACCAGTGAAGAAAAAGAAACAACGAAGGAAAAAAAAAAAAAAAACATTGACTGGCACAATAGACTTTAGCATGTATGGAAGTTCATGCGGAGCGCAAGTTCGTCTGCTTCTCTCGCAGGGGTTATGGTGACGACAGAACG